GTATCTATGAGCACATAGATAAGCACACTGCAGTAAGGAAGTGTTTGTAGTCCTTCTCAAAGAGCAATTCTGTGCCAAAGTCACTTATCATCAGTTGTCATTTATATAGGAATAAATTATGCTGATTACTTTCTGCATAGTCTTTTAGAATGAAACTGGATGTTGTTCACGTTGTGTTATAAACCTACAACTGACATTTTAATGCACTTTAAGAAAAGAGGATACTTGTTAGTGAAATGGTTTATTTTAAAAACTGTGTCTSCTTTTCGTGATCAGAGTGGCTTTCTGCATTGGGATGCATTTCTCTCCTTCTTAAACACCACAATATGTAAATTGCCGTTCCAAGAGTATTAGTGTTGCCCCAGCATGAGTGAAGTGTTCGTTGTTAGAAAGGAGCAGTAATTTCCCGTCAGGAAAATTACCCAGAATCAGTGTTRTGGTTTTGGTGTGTGTGTTAATAGAATCGTTTTCTGGTTTTAATTATTTTAATTTCACTTGCATGGTATTTTTACATTTCATGTTGTGGCATGTTTTCAGCCTGCAGCCAGTAATCCAGGCTGCAGTGATATATTAGACTTCAGAAGCAAGCAAGTCATTCAGTGTAAATCATCTAAGAAATTCTTGTTGGTTATCCAGTCCGTTTGAAACTGTCAGAACGCCTCCCTTTCCTCCCAACTTACATGACCTGAAGCATCCCCACCTATATATGTCTCTTCCTGCTGAAGCAATATTTATAGCATTTCTGACCTCTGAATGAACTTTCAGGAATCAATAACTGCAAAATGGAAGGAAGGTCAGCAACAGATTTCCTCTCGTCTGATTGAGTGTAGCCTGTGTTACACTTGGAACCTCTAAGATACATTAGGAACTATCAAAATCACATTTTGCAGCTTTTTTGCAGGCACCAGAGAGATTTCTTGAGTACGATCATTTATCTGCTGTCTCAAGGTTATAATGCAATCTGAAAATAAACAGTATCATTAAAGTGTTTTAAGCTGCTATGTATTCATTTTTACATGGCAAAACTGCTGCAAGAGGCCTTATAGCCAGTGCCCAAGAGTAATTTTCATGAGTATATTTTGCCACAAAAAATTGTAACTGACTTTGAAACCCTTCTCATTAATAACCTAGTGAAACAGAAACCCCATTAAAGTGTAAATTTGCTCCCATTTTAGACTTCAGCAATAAAATTGACACAGTCAGCCACATATCAGCCACAGACTAGCTGTCTGGGCACAAGGAGACATGTGAGATTGTCTAGGAAGCAAGTTTAGATCCATTAGTCCTGTAACTCTACAACTGAAATATCACAATGGACCTTACACGATTTCTGGAGAGCGCCTTCCAAAATTGTTCCCAAAATGAGTGTTCCCATAATGAGTGTTCCCATAATGAAGGAGACATCTTCATGCTGTTTGATGCTTTTCTGTGTAGAGGAGGGAACGGGAACGGTATTTTTCCCTAGTTTCAACTACTTATCAGTAAAGATCCTAGTTTAATCACTGCCCTAGAGTTAGTGGCCAGACCTGGCATCTGTAGAAAATGCTTCTTGCTCTCTCTGCTGCATTCCAGTATGCCCAGCCAAATAATTTGGATTCTAGCTATAAATTACAAGCCTCTTTTGAATGCATCAAGTGAGATGAGTAGCGGTGCTAGGGGTGACAATAACGTGTCACATAGAGTGAGAGATCTTCAACCTTGTAATTAGAGTGATTTTTTTTTCCCAGTCAGGACTGTCCTCATACTTTTCTGCAGAGGCAACAAGGCAGGGTCCTGCTCTCTGCTGGACCCTCCTGGTGCTGCTGTAACACATAGCATTTGTAAATACAACAAAAAGGTTATTATTCCAACCCACCCCCCTAGTACCAGCTTTGTTTTTCTTGAGTAGCTGAATGGGCAGATCATGGTCATGGACTATGGTAGTTGTGTATGCCTTTACTAATGCAAGAAACTTTTTTGGTAACGACTCAAAGGAGTTCAGTTTTGATAAGTGTTCTTTCTACATCTTGTTGTTGCTTGAAAATTGTATCTACTTTTCCAGCCAGACTTACAAATACATCTAAAAATACCCCCCAAAATTTTTTAAAACTTCTCTTCAGTTTAAAGCTGTTCGGTCAAACTATTTTAAAAGCCAGGAAATGTAAAATGAGAAAGACTTTCTTTTATGGATATTACCATATTTATTATTGTTAGGTTACTGCAGGAGAACAAAGGCAAAGATATTGTAATTTCCACATGAGTTGCTGATGTCAACTTTGAATTACCTTGTTTTTTTCCTAGTTTATAAAACATCCTTAATATAGAACTGTTTCGTCTGAGAATAAATCCTGTGTTTATTCAAATTCTTAGATCCGTAATATTAAAGAAAGATTTTCTTCCTCTTTTTTTCTTACTTCAAGGAACAATTTCCTGTGCCRTGTACATCTTAACTGCTCTTAAAGCCATCTTGTCATTATCTGCTTTTCCAAAATTTACTTTTTAGTTTGCAGCAATCTCTAACCAAGCAAAGTTTACTCATTCTGTCTCAGTCTTCTTCCTAACACTTTTTAAGTGTTTTGAAGAGTTGTATAAAGCTGGAGAAAGATTCAAATGCAGATGTTCTACCTAAGTCATAAGTACAGGCTTGCATCCCCTTTTCACCAGGATAAAAATAAAGACCTAGCTTATCATTTCACTAGGGCTAGTATTTTGGCTCCAGCATGAGGGTAAAAGGAGCTCATTTGGCAGTAGCACATGGACYTGAATAAACAATAAAGTTACATAGGCAGGGCAGACGCAGCTGCCTCAAAACCAGCCAGAAGCTAATCTTATGTCACAGTTAGTTGATAACCACAGAGTTTCAGGTTCTGCTATTTTTTGTGGTTAGCTGACAGCTGCCAATGTGAAATATATACAGAAAGTTTACATCGTCAGCAGCGATATCATCTCCTCCTCATTTCCCCAGAACTGGTTGATAGCCACAACTACTTGTTGCTTCTTCTGATCTAAGGCTGTCTGAAGTCATCAGAACTGCAACCTGTTTTCTTATATTTATGTCAGTGTTAAGAGTAGCCTTTATTTTGCCAGTGAGGAACGGTACACGATGTTACTTACCATGTCAAATCTCATGGTACTGTCTTAGATCACAGAATCACAAAATGGTTGAGGCTAGAAGGGGCCTCTAGAGACTATCTAGTCCCAACGCTCTGCTCAAGCAGGAACACCTAGACCATGTGGCACAAGGTCACGTCCAGGTGACTTTGGAAGGTTTCCAGAGAAGGAGACTCCACAACCTCTCTGGCCAGCTTGTTCCAGRGCTCTGTCACCCTCACAGTGAAGAAGCTCTTCCTCACATGGGGATGGAACTTCCAGTGTTTCAACTTGTACTCATTTCCCCTTGTCCTGTCACTGGCCACCACTGAGAAGAGCTCGACCCCTTCCTCCCTACGTTCTCCCCTCATCTGTAGCAACATCTCCGTCATTCTCGTCTATGTGACTTTCTCCCTTCACTGGTGAAATATTTGGGAGGTGAAGCCCATCAGATTCCTTTTCCTGCTTTTCTATAGATCCTGTAGAAGAGACTACCTTGACTTCAGCAAGGCTTTTGACACCATCTCCCATGATATCCTCATGCTGAAGCTCTTGGAGAGTGGTCTGGACGAGTGCACAGTGAGGTGGATCGAGAACTGGCTGGATGGCAGAGCTCAGAGGGTGGTGATAAATGGGGCCRAGTCCAGTTGGAGGCCTGTGGCCAGTGGTGTCCCCCAGGGGTCAGTACTGGGCCCAGTGCTGTTCAACTTGTTTATCAATGACCTGGATGAGGGCATGGAGTGCACCCTGAGTAAAAGTTTGCAAATGATACCAAGCTGGRTGGAGTGGCCGACACTCCGGAGGGCTGTGCTGCCATCCAGAGGGAACTGGACAGGCTGGTGAGTTGGGCAGAGAGGAACCTCRTGAGGTTCAATAAGGACAAGTGCAGGGTCCTGCACCTGGGGAGGAATAACCCCAGGCACCAGTACAGATTAGGGGTCAACCTGCTGGAAAACAGCTCCACAGAGAGGGACCTGGGAGTCCTGGTTGACACCAAGTTAACCATGAGTCAGCAGTGTGCCCTCGTGGCCAAGAAGGCCAATGGGATCCTGGCCTGCATCAGGARGAGTGTTGCCAGCAGGTCAAGGGAGGGGATCCTGCCCCTCTACTCAGCTCTGGTGAGGCCACACCTGGAGCATTGGGTRCAGTTCTGGGCTCTCTAGGACAAAAGGGACGTGGAGCTTATAGAGGTGGTCCAGAGCGACAAAGCGGGGCGAGCAACAAAGATGATTAAGGGACTAGAACATCTCTCGTATGAGGAGAGACTGAGTTGGGCCTGTTTTCTCTGGAGAAGAGAAGGCTGAGAGGGGATATGATTAACATGTGTAAGTTCATGAAGCAAGAATGTAGGGAGGAAGGGACCAAGCTCTTCTCAGTGGTGGCCAGTGACAGGACAAGGGGTAATGGGTGCAAACTGCAACTCAGGCAGTTCCATCTCCATGTGAGGAGGAACTTCTTTCCTGTGAGGGTGACAGAGTCCTAGAACAGGCTGCCCAGGGAGGTTGTGGAGTCTCCTTCTCTGGAGGTCTTCAAAACCTGCCTGGATGCCACCCTGTGCCACATGCTCTAGGTGACCCTGCTTGAGCAGGGGGGTTCAACTAGATCTTTAGAGCTCCCTTCCATCCTTAACCATTCTGTGATTCTGTGACTTGAGTGCCTCTTTTCTCACACACGTTTCCCCTGTTTATTTCCTGCTTCCTGAACATAATGACACACAAAGTCATATATTACTTGCCCCTCCTTGAACATGAGCAGACACAGCTCTACTTTGACTGAGCCTGTGGTCAGCACATGGAACTGAAGCTCCTGCCAGATGCTGGAACTGTTTTAATGTCTTGTGGCTATGAACATGCCATTTCGTACATGTCTCACAAATACTGGAGCATGTGCTGCTGTCATTAACAACAAGCAATTCTGCTTGGTGATTTCAGAGAATGATGAAGAGCAGGAGGCTCTGTTATCCCTAGATAAGCCTGGCTGGTATTCCCAAGGTAATGCTATCCATCTTTATGAACTGCTGAAGAAGATGACTGGCAAGTTGGACCCCAAGGTATGTTACAAATGTGGCTACATTTTCTTTAAAACATCCTGTTTCAGTCTAAAATTCATCAGATCAGCTTGCATGAATGTTAATGATGTAATCAGTCACATCAGACTGTATTGTTTATCCTCTGAACTGAGTAATTTCATTGCACTTCCAAGGTGAATTCATCATTCTAACTCATAGCTAGCATTTACATAGATGGCAGTCGCTGTACAAGGTGAGAGACTTCTTTCCTAGCTCACTGTACATCTTTCACAGTGCATAATATTTCCTATTTAGTTCCTAGTAAATAGACCTTGTACTAAACAGATGGCAGGGGATGTAGCTGTTTYTGCTATAAATAAAGTGTGGAAAAAAGTTGCATTGGCTAAAGGCTAAAGTTACCTGTTATTAAGGCTAAAATTGCCTGTGTCTTCATCATCTTCCAGTTAACTGTTTTTCTGTAATTTTCCTGCGGAGAGGATTGGATGAAAAGATGGCATAAATGAAAACTAGGATCATTTTATCTCGCTGTTTACAGTACAGGCTGGGTTCAAATGCCAGTGAAGACTGCAGGAGCACATTGGTCCTAATGGGTAAAATATCACATAGGTGCCAAAAAGCTCTGAATCAGCAGTAGATGCTATGTTTTTCTTTCTTCCAGAGTTGTCTAAAATGCATTATGTTGTTTTAGGATATTTTCTTGTTAAGCTTTCCTACTGCCTCCTGGCAAGCTGTTGCACTCCTCCAGAAATCTCCGAACTGTCTTGTGTGTTAGTCCCAAACCTGGTAATGTCACTGGCAGGTCGAATAAGAAGGTATGCAGGGCTAGTCCTTTTATTCATGGAGAATCTGGAAGTGAGCTGATTGGGGAGGAAAAAAAAAAAAAAAAACCGAAACCCAAGACTATAATATTAATAAGACATGTGTGTTGTGGCCAGCTGTAAACATGAAGGAATTTTTATTAGTTTGCTTTAAAACTGTTTTTCCTCTGTCTTTAAAATATGGTTTGCTTGTTTTTCTCATATACAAAGAACTTTTAATTTGCTCCTTCCCTCGTAGGTTGTTTATTTTGGTGACAGCATGCACTCGGATATTTTCCCAGCTCGTCACTATAGCAACTGGGAAACTGTCTTCATCTTAGAGGAGCTTCTAGGGGACAAAGTTATGGTGCCTGCAGAGACTGAATCTGAGCCCTTGGAGAAGAAAGGAAAATATGAGGTAAGGTAATTCCTCGCAGCTGTTTCATAGCATAGAAGAAAGTAAGTTACAGAAAAACCTAGTGCTGCCTGCACTGAGAAGAAACCTGGTCATCTAACAAGGCTGTTGGCAGTGATAGGTTCTCTCCTAGGCACATCCTCATCATGCTTTACGTTGTAAGAGTTCATTTTCTAGCACGCAGTCAATGAGACGCAGTCTTCRTTCATTGGCCCTAACCAAGCCCAGTTGTGAACCACAGAAAAAGATGGGAGTTGTGTTCTTCTTTAGCCAAAAAGATATAGTTTTATCCTCTGCAGTAACCAGAACCTGCCTTGCATTCCACAAGGTGAAAMTCTACCACTCCTTGTCACAAGTCTGTCACCTGAACTCTTCACAGTTCATATGAGCCTGTTTACCAGAGGGACAGCTTTTAAGACAGGTCAACTGCAGGCTACTGAGGGTTAGCCTCGATAAATAATGTAATTTTTAGGTTGACTGCATTTGTGAAGCAAGGCCTTTAATTAGCTGTAGTACTCTTGTCACTATTCAGTTCTCCCATAGAAGATGAAATTTGTATTATATTTTGTTCTTCTTTCTGCTGCTTAAGAACAGAGTAGATAGTGAATTGTGCTTCAGTGGAGTTGTATCTCCTGCATTTAGTATTCAGGAAAAATAACACAGCTTTGGCAAGGTACCTCTGGCAATCTGCCCCTCATAATAAGAAAAAGAAGAAATCTATTCTCTTAGTATCCTACTATTCTTACAACTTTCCATATTCTCTTGTTAATGCTAAATAGAATGCTTGATCTCTCATAATCTGTAGAGAGTGAATGCTTGAGAGGCACTTGCTTATAATTGCAGTTAGTCCAAGCACTTTTTGGGGAAAAAATTTAACATTCTTCCCCATAATTTTAGCCATTTTCCAGCTGGAGGCTCTGCTGCCTTAGTGCTTGGAACTTAGATCTCTGTAAGGTTTGGGTTCTGTTTTTTTCGAGCATATTTTCTTACRCATTTTAAATATAGCCTTCTGAAGCATACATTTTTAAACAGCACACCAGCACACATTTCCTTCCCTGGAAGTATAAGAGAAAAGTTACTGAGTTTTAACTTATTTCTAAGCACCTAATGGTGATTYGGTTTTATCTCGTTCATCACCAGTACATCTGGTGAACTCCTCCCCAGATCCATCCTCTCTCTCRCTGTAGCTATCAAGCGGGAAACTGAGTTTTTTAGACAGGGGTATGACATTTTGCTAAGCCTGGTAACAGACTGCGGTAGCTCGGTAAGACACCGTGTCTGCCACACAGACCCTCCGCGCGCTTTACATCCGCCACCAGTGACAGCAGATAAGCACGGGAGAAATGAATTGCGTTGATTAAAGGAGTGCGAAGCCAGGGGCCCCGGTAGGTCAGGGGTGTTATTTCATTACCCTGCTGCTCCCTGGAGTCTGCACAACAGGTCACATCCATATCTCTGCACTTGACTGGACATCACTGACTTAACAGGAGTAGTTCAAAGAGATTCCCTTTGCAAGCCTATGGACATTTTAGTTTTATTCCCCTAATCACCTTCTCCCATTAGCCCTTTGGTTAACAGGGGAGAAAAGSCAATTCAAAGGCTTGAAAAAAGTCAGCTGCTTTGAAAAGCAGGTACTAGTAKATTAGATTTAATATTATTAATTAGCCTTCCCATTTGTTGGTAATAAAAGAAAACTACTGTTGCAGAGCATGTATGCCATACAGCATACAGCAATATGCATGCCATGCAGCATATGGCAAGAGGGACTGAAAATTTAATACAAGATGCAGCCCTTCCTTCTAGCAATCTTTGCCATACAATATTAAAATAAAATAAAATATTATCTCTTATTTACAGTTCTATCTTTCATAGAGAAATTACCAAAAATATTTTCAGCTATATGTTTCAGCTAAATATGTTCAGCTATATATGTTTTCATCACTATAAGACAGAGAAGAAGGAAACTTCTTCGTTACACAACCTCCACAAACTGAGAGGCTRGTAATTTCCATTTTCATTAGTAGTTTTTTTGTCTTTTCCCCTTCAGTTGAGGGCATGATCCAAACCAGATACACATAGATGTGAAATTATGGCAACAGCTACAGTCCTTTCAAGTATGTGAGTCATAACCAAATGGGCAAGAGAATAGCAGACTAAAACCATTCATGCAACTCTTAAGTGTATTGCAGCATGCAGAGAAAAAAATACAAAAAAAGTGTTGAAACTAGATTCCCCCCAGACTTGGGGGTTTGCTTGCTTTCCTAGATGCTTTGTTTTTTTCCTTCTGCTCTTTAAATGTGTGATCAATTTCATCAATGAAAACTCTAAGAAAAGCTGGAATTCATCCCAGAATGTCGAGGGAAATGATTACAGAGAAGCTAGTCTGGGTGAAAAAAAACAGCTTGAGCTATGGGAATGAATGGAGCACAGAACTAAGAAATTGCTGGCAAATATAAATGATAGACTTCAGTTAGAAGGAAAATTTCTTTTTCCAGTACTGTCTTGTGACTGCTTGGTGGGGAAAATCAAATCCCTTGAGCCCCTTTTATTTCCAGGACCCTGTCTAAGTGACCTCAGACAAGGGCTAATTACTCTATATCTTTTGGCTCTATTTATCTCTCTATACTTGTTTATCTTTAATACATAATTGCACTTTCAGGAACAATCTGATGGGGTGTCGTGAAGCCCGATAAGATAAACAGTATTCATAAAGGAATATCCCTGAGTGAAATGCATTTTATTAGTTTATAATTGGATCTGATGACTGTCTGTTTTTTAAAGGAAGCCTGCTTGTAGTGGTCCAGGCCTCAATCTAGCTATAATGATCATGGCTGAGATGTTTAATGTATACTCACAGATTGTGAGGAGAAGCGTCTACAGAAAAGGTAGATGAGCAGCAGGTTTGCCTCCTTGCCCAGACCAACATAGCTGTGTTATACAGGGATATCCATTTGCCATGACCCCTTTTCAGCAGAGCTGTGCTGACAGAAACAGCTTGAATATTTGCAGTGATGCAGGCAAAACTACATTTCGTTTTTCTGACACTAAGAGTCAGTGGTTTTAGTGGCACAAAGCACATGGCCATCGCTGTGACCATCAGTACCATCCATGATAGTGAATGCAAGATTGTGCAGTACACAGGGAAGCGATCCTCGTGTCCTGCACTTGGTACAAAGACTGGATGGCAAATCTGCATTTAAATGTCTTTAAAAGATGTGAACAGACTGCATGCACAAGTCTCCTCAGATGTATTTTTCATTTATGTTCTTTATTCTTTCACCTCCGATTCACACCTATTTCAATTTTAAATAGACCATTGGTAAGCAGACAAATTGCTCTTACCCAAGGGTCCTATCAACAGATACTGTTACTAGGGTAACAGGCCCTAGTTGTCTGCAGTTATTAGAGCAAAGGTGATAGTAAGCATTCCAGGTGGTTTAAGTTAGTGAAAAGCTTGGGACTTCGGAATCAGCAGGTACCCTCGTTACTTCTCTGAGGTCCAGACTCGGTCCTTGAGGCTTTGTCACAGTCAGCATCTGACCTCGTGGTACTGTTTGACTGATAGACCTGAGAGCAAACGGTTTGCATGCAAGAGAGGGATGGCCCAGCACTTCCCAGCCTTTTCTGTCCTGCAGTTGGAGCAAGCCCACATTTGGGCTCTGTAAGATCTGGTAGTGCAGTGACCAGAGCTGACTGGCTGCACGGTTGCATGTGCATCTGCTCATATCCAGTTGTGCAAAGGGCAAGGATTTTGCCAAAAAACTCCAACCTAATTTTGCAGACTTTGCAGTACATGGTCCAGACTTGGTTGCTGGCTGTATACACTTCATGTGCGATGAGGAATTCTTCGGGAATTATATCCGATGCTTTCTAGGGGCAYTTTGTTGGGGGAAGCATCAACAGCTGTTTTTGGACTTGAGCTGTAGGTGTAACCTAGCTATTAAAGTACCTGTGTCATGGCAAGAAAAGCCAGCAGCAAAATAATAAAAGTGATATATCAAGTGACTTGATGGTAATTTGATACTTAATATTATTGGTTTTACTAAAGACATGGGCTGTAATTTCTAATTTCTAATTTTATCTTCTCCCTCCTTATGAGGACAAGGAAGAAATTGCCACCATCCAGCTTCTGAAAAAAATCAGTTTATTTCCTCAGACTGCGATTTTTGTTTGCCTGTTGAACCAGTCGTAATTATTTCAAAAGAAAGAAGCCTCTGATGTTTACTTTTGTCAGTAAACAGGAGCCCATCATGCATCCAAATGCTTGTGTGGGCCAGTGTTTTTGTTGTTATTTAAAAATCTGAACAGCTGGTATTGTCTTAAGAGATTTCTGCATGTGTCATCCAGCTGGCAAATGGATTTTAATTCAGCATAGCATCTACAYTGAGTTATAACTGATGTAAAGTCCTGGGATTCACATGGAAAGGTAAGATTTGGTGAAATAAATGTAAGACATGTTAAACACAGCTTGTAACTTAACTGCTATTTTGAAATTAAAGCTATGGGGKTTTTTTTCCAATCTGTTTTCAAACAGTATCTTCATTTGTCCAAATYGGTTCTTTCTCTGCAAAAAAAAATAATGCTCAGAATAAGAATTGCTGCTCAGAAACACTAGGAAAAAAATATGTGGCGTTTGTTTTTGTTCCATTTAATTTTTACAGCTTTCTTGTGATCAAGACCAAGAACATCTGTCATAAAACAAGAATTATTTCAACACATTCTCAAAATTATTAAGAAAGGGGATAAATGAAAAAAAAAAAGTACAAAAGTTCACAAATCTGAAGGCACAGGCTAGGATATCTGTTGTTCTKCACTTTGCTGGTCTGAAAATATACTTTGCACACAAATGACTTCAGCAGACTTTCTGTAACATAGTTTGCAGATTTACTTTCCACTTTTTAATCTTTTAGTAAAGGTTTCTAGAGTTTTCTCTGGCTGCTTATGGCAATATATAGCAGTTTTCAAGATGAACTGCAAAAAAAACCCCAGTTTTCTCAATGCCACTTTATTACTTTCTTTTAAATATAATGAGTTCACATGTTGGTGTCTAGAAATCAACTTTGCTCAGAAATAGATATAATAGTACATTTGAAATAATACCTTCTTTGCAGTTGGCCCCTCTGTCATTCAGCTTACGGTAGATTCCTGTAGCCTGTGGGCTAGAGCCTGTGTCACAGGCTACCTGGCTTCCCCAGCTGAGAAGGGTAGCAAGCCACTTGTGCTGTCATGCTAAATAAAAAAATACATGATGAATAAAACATTGTTAAGAGAAAAATATTTAAAACCAACTTCATATGTCGTAGGGAATCAATAAATTGCACAAACAGCAGTTTGGGGCTTTCTCAGAAAAAGATTTGTACTGTTTTTTTCCACAGTATTTTTAAGCCACATTGCTCTTGAGGCATCATACAGTTTCCCCAGAAAACCAGAGAAACAATGCAGGCTTTCTAAACTAATATTTGTAGTTCTATCAGGAAGTAAAATAGAATATTTTTTGTAGGCTTACATATTTATCTCTTTTTCAGAGACATCTTCCCAAAGTTCCTTGCTCTGTATCTGAACAGTGGGGCTCTTTCTTCGTGGACAGCTTGCCAGGCTTGGGAAATGCTGAGGAAACTTTAGTTAGCACATGGTCCTGTAAATGCATTAGCACTTACAGCACTATTGCAATCCCTAGTCTTGAAGCAATAGCAGGTAAGGATCTTTTTTTTTTCCCTAATGAACATGTAGCATTTATAGTAGTAATTTTGTCATCTGTAGATCTATTTTTGAGATTGTGTGTCCATTGTGCATTCAAAAATACTCTTAATATCACTTAACAATATATGACTAGCAATTAATTTACTGTTTATGCTTGTAATAGTTGTCTGCTAACCCAGTTCAGTTTTGTTTTGCTTTGCTTTTACTATCTTCAAATAATAGATGCATATTTATCCTACATTAGAAATAGAACTCAACATTTCAGAGCCTGCAGGTTAGTTCTCAAGTTTGGTCAGGACTTCCCCACAGCAGTTTAATGTTTCTGCTTTCAGAATAGGAAGCAAACACACATGCAAAATTACTAGTGTTTTTTTCTGCTTCCAAATATATTTCCCTTTAATCTGACTTGTTATCTTTTCTGAATCAGTTCACTTATACTGCAACAGTTGAAATAAAAAGGAATGAACATAAAAATCTAACGTTGGTAAAAATGCCTAGGTTCCCTCTCTCTCTTTTTTTTTCCTTTTTTGTTTTTTTCTTTGATATGTGCGTTTCTTTTGAAACAGCCTCATTATGGACAGTACTGGAGCCTAGAATCTTCTTGTTATCTGAACAAAAAAAGACCTTCATAAGCAATGCCCTTTTCTCAAAGTAAGCCCTAAAATGAATTGAGCCTGAACGAATTTTGTGCTTAGCAGCATGAAGGACACTGCAGTTTAACTACTAAGCCTGTGTTCAGGTGGAGTCCTGCCTAAAGCCAATGAATAAAAAACTTGTTCTGAACAAGTTTTTCAGATTTGCGAAACAACTACTAAAAACTTATTCTAAAGGAGCATTTCAGATTTGCAAAACAACTAATTCTATTCAATTGCCAGAAAACAAGTTGTATTATCATTTTTATAAAAACTCATAACATTTTGGAGTCAGTGAATGACAAAGTTAGGCTAGAGCTGGTCTTTGCAATTACGCTGTACACGTTTTTCTACATTATAAGAATGTCTCAAAACAGATAAACTCATACAGTGCACCATTTTATTTACACTTCTGACATTTACTGTGCTACAGTGTATAGTTCTGCCTAGAGGCACAGAGCTCAAAAATAACAAGGATARTTGCCAGGAGAGACAACCTCTGTAAAATTCCCTTCCAGTACGTTTTCCCGATGCCCTCTGGGGTTTGCTTGAAAAAGACACTGGCCTATAGGAAATATATTGGGCAGCCTTAGTGAGTGAAAATCTGCCTTCCAGCCCAGCTTACGTGCCTAGCAGAGGCTTTAAACTGGAAAGGTTTCAAAAGTTTCCAGTGGCAGATRAAGAGATGAGACCAGTAAAGTTGTTGTCCAGTTCCTACAGGGAAGGGTAGGAGGAAAGCAGCTGTGTTGCCTCCYATTTGAGTACCAGCTGCGGAGCCTCTGCCATGTCCCACTCCATATTCTGGACAGAGCCCAAACACTGTCCTGGGAAGCACCTTCCTGCACTGCATCCAACCCACTGTGGGGCAGCAATTGGTGTCTTCACAACCCTCATCCCCGAGCTAAAGGGCAGCTCAGAGCTARCATTTCTAACTCGCAGCTTTGTACCTGGAAAGAAACTCAAAGCCGAGTGCATGAGACCATCTATGGTTCTTACGGAGAGCGAGGTATTTATTGCTCACTGAAGAGCAGATGTTCATTATTATGGATGTTGAGGAATTCCTTTAGCGTACCTGTGTGACTCCTGTTACAGCAAGCTGCATGAGGCCCTGCTTTGCCAAGCCCTCGAGTTTTTGGCTATGGTTGCAAGTCAAAGCCTAGCTGCGTTTATTTGGAATAACTAGCTGCAAGAGATTCAAACTTTTTCTGTGAGTCCAATGCACTCTGTCTTTTCCTGTTCTTCTCACATGTTTTACTGCTGACAGAAGACTTACCTCTGCCAATTTGCAAAAACGTAGGCCCTTCCTCAAGAAAGTCCAAGTCCAAATGTGCAGCCACAGTACTGTTTTGGTGATGGTGTGGGCCAAATGTTCCTTTACCAGCTAACTATATTATTAGTAATAGCTGAACTGGTCTTTGTGTATCTCCTAGAGCTACAGTAAGTGCCACATAGAAATAAATATCCTAACAGATTATGATCTGCAAAATGTTAATTGAAAGCCAAACAGTTACACTGTCCTTAAATTACACTTGATTCATGTTGCTTGAATGTAATATACATCTGGGGAGAAAGAACAACTTGATTTACTTCTAAAAACTTTCTTTTTATTTAAAAAGATTTTTTGACAAAATAGTATCTAACAAAAATGATCAGTTTTCCTCAAGATTCTTGTGAGAACACCTTTGAAAGTATTACCAGAATTTTTATCAAATAAAACTTTTCAGAGCTTTTTTTTTTTTTTTTTTTTTTTTTTTTTTTTTTTTTGTTACATCAAGGAAATATATAAAATATTTTAAAATTTATGGCTCTGTTTAGAGATGCTGGTATTAAAAACAAAGCCAAACAAAAACAACAGCATAAAGCTTTGACAATTCTCTGTGTTTTTTTTTGCATACAAAGTATTATGAATTTGGTGTTGATGCGTTTTAGTATTTTCATGTAAAGAATTCATACAGATAAGAAAATGGAGCAATGTGGTATTTATCAAAAACTCTTCTAGGAAAAAGATTTCACAGGGAATGCTGCTTACACAATTTTTAGCTATTCAACATATAAAGTAACTGAGCACGCCCTTCAGTTGCTCGAATAATTAGTAAAATGACAACTTCATAAATAAAAGACCAATTTATTATTCATTATCTTCTTGTACTAAATTTCTGTATTATTCTTTGTTAATTCTCTCCCGTGTATGGTTGAATATTCAATATATGGCCCAAAATCTGGTTGCATTGAAAGATGCACTAGAAATTCTGAATTCTCATCTGGTTTCTAACKGGCAAAATATTAGTGAGATTCTAGATAACTCAGTCACAGCTTGTCGTCTAACCTCTTCTGACAGGCCTTGAAGATTTTCCTTGATCAGAAAACAAAGGACATTTTGGTTACTGCTAAAATGGTTCAAAGGACAGAAAGGATCTTTCATGTTATGTTCTGTCTACTTTTTTTTTTTTTTTTTTTGATTTGGATGGGAACTCAGACAGAAGTGAAACTCCTCACTGTAGATATTATCACCCTGACATTAAGAAGACATTAAGAAAGTTTTAACTGATGAGAAGCCTTATGGCTGTATCTCTATAATAGTAAGAGGAAATGAGTTAAACTGAAAGCCTTCTAAACATGTCAAAGGTCTTTTATGGGCTATTAACCACTTCAGTAAGCAGAGAAGCTTTTCTTAAGTATTTTGAAAGCTGAGGAACTCATGATTATATTGACAGTAAGTGGTTAATAAAATAATAGAAGCCCATGCTCCTACGCCTGTTATTCATTCACAAGACCATCTGTTCCTTCGCTTTTATGCTATTAAATCTCTCCATATTTACAGCTCCCTCACAATTTTTGACCATTTTAAAGCACAATGATATTGTAAGCCAGATTTCCAAGACCAGAATCCATTACTGTGGGAACTTTCCACCCCCAACGCCCACATGGAAATTAAAGGATATAGCGGGGGGGTGTCTGAAGAATGAAATTTTGCATAAACCGCAGTGTGTAACATATCCTACTTGGCTTTAGAAGGTTTGATTTGAGTCAAGTAGAGCCAGATACTCTTATCTACCAAATTCTTTTATCTGAACTGTACCTTCAAGTAGCTACTGTTATTCTCCTAATGTTTGATCACATTTCCAAATGACCATGTACATAAGGATGTGTCCTGCATCATTAGCCAGTAATGCCATCTCAGATTGCCATTTATTAGTAATCTAAAATAGGCATATGTTAAACGACCTCTTTTATTTTGAGTCTCATCATGGTTGATATTTTTACTTAARTCCCCCTTCAAAGAGTTCCATGATTAGTAACCGTGTAGATTTTAGAGTTTATGGAGGAATTTTAGTTTCTTTGTTGAAAAAACAAACAAAAAAAAGACCTTGAGAAAGAGGGCTCTAAATTCCAGTAAAGAGAAATTAGGTAGACTTGTTTAAAATTTCATGATTTTTAGTTAAGGCAAATTAGTTCAGCACTGGTTTGCTGAACTTGTTGCTTAATCTGTGAGTGGTGAGTTTTGCCATAAGATTAAAAATGATTGCAAGCAGGAATAGGAGGCTGAGCAATATAGGAACTCAAACAGTTGCACTTCAAAGAAGAATAAGTATAAATCTAACTTTTATGGTTGCAGTCTTTCTTTCATACTTTGGCTATTTGATAATCAAGCCTATGTCACATATGAGGGTTAAGTATTTTCTTTAAAATAGCAATGAATGAAACCTAAATGAAATCTTATCATGCCTTGCCCATATCAGTCTGTAAGGTTTTCCTTATGCCTAATTGTTATATCATTTAGCTAGTACCAGAGAAAAATTCTAGTCATCAAAGCTGTGCCTTTAAAGAAGTCTGTGAATCTKTTCTCTGCCTCCTTCTGCAGGAGTTTGAGGACTCAGTCTCCTTGCAGTGTAAATATAATGATAAAAATGCAAGTGATCCATGGCAAGGAAGATCATATTTTTGCTTAGAGATGAAAATTATCTGCACATTAGAAAACAAAAAGCAACTGTGCCAAGAATAGCAAATCTGGCATAGAATGTCACAGATATAAAGGCCCACCTATTACAAATTGACTTAAAATCCTTAAAAATGCTCTTTATTTTATCATTAACCAAACTTCTAATCATGTACGCACTTGTATATCGTGAATGTTATCATTCTTAGTTGTTGCTGAAGTTAAACCAAAAAACTGTAATAGAATACACTTTTTTTTTCATTGAAATTACATCATCTACAGCCAAATCCAGCTCCTATTAAAATTAGATTTGTCTTTCATGTAACAAGTGATAATTATATGCTCTTGCTTGTTCAAATCATACAATAATGGGCATATAATGTACTTAAAAATATAAAGGTATCTGTATTCTAAATTACTTGTTA